AAAAAGTTGTTCAATGTTGTAATTTAATTCAGATAATGAAAACACGAACTATTATTATTTAGAACCTGGTTATTTGTATTCATTGAAAAAAAGACTAAATTTCAAGAAAATGATTTATTTTTATTACATCATACGTAGCAATTGCAATTGATTAATTAATTATTACATATTACCTATTATCTGTTATGATAATACGTATCTGATTAATTATCTATATATATATTAATATATACTGATTATAGTTTAATGTAGTCCTACCTCTAATATTTATACGAAAAATTTTCCTATATTATATCATGTCTCAAATGTAATTAACATATTAGTAGTAATAGTTACAGATAATATAACGCCTGGGCTGTTTAATAACAATAATTAAGTAACTTTATTTTTCCTTTCAAATTTTAAATCATTCATACGGCATTTGGGATTCATACGGTTTTTGCCGTAACCGTAACCGTAACTTGCTATGCGCCGTACGGTTCACTGAAATAGTTCCACCTGCACCTCTAGAGTCTTAACCAAATCGGGTGCGCTCAGGCAGATTACTTATATAAGATTCGTCAAGATAACCGGCGTTATCCGTTGGAATCGGTTCGGTTGTCGCTAGTTGAGACATGGCTAGAAGTTAAAGGCAAGCGTAGGCAGATCCCAAAATTCATATTAGATGACGTAAGGGATATTTGATCAGCTGATGGACGCATATTACCGAGACAAGCCACCGATGATATAATAAGTGATACGCAAAGTTTTTTTTAAGTTTAAACATGACAGGGCTAATCAGGCAACTTGGGAGTTTACGAAAGAAATTAACGGGTCCTTACCACGATAGGAAGCCCTGGTCAACAACTCGATTTGTGAATCTTGACAACGCATTCACGACGTCACAGGCAAGATTTCAAACAACTACCGAAGATCCAACTTATAAAGGGCTCTTTTATCATTCCACACATGATGCAGCCAACTACTCGCTATCTTTTATCTCTGATCGTAATAAAGTTGAGAAATATGATGTATCAGTGATTGGATGGCTACCCTTTCAAACGGATGTGCCAAAGTTAGAAATAGGGAACTTTAGAGAAAATAATAAATTTATAAAATTCTTGCATCAAGTGATAGCAGATAATGTAGCAAACGCAGATCCTCAATTGCAAGCTTTGGCCAAGTATCATCAGAATGGGTAAAAATTTACTTTTAAGATATTGTAACCAATTCATGCACAATGGCTTTCAATCTTGACAGTTTATTTCTATTGTTCTCTGAACCAATCAGTTGGCTTCATATCGCTGGTAAGTTATGTTTTAATCAATTTAATTTGTACTTACGCACGTACTTCGTGTGCTGATCGTCAATTAACGATCAAGATATTCGTGATCCTGCTCCATGGGGTAAGTATTGGTTTAAAAAAATACAGGTTACTCTCTATCATGAATTTCCTGTTTAGTATAATTTGCTATGACAAGCCACTTTTCCATAGCGAATTTCGTTAACGATAACGTAATAACTATGTCAACCTATTTCACGTCGTATATACATATGTCACATGATGCTAGGTCGTATACCCTATCCAGAAGACATCTTTGGTATGGTTCTTGTGAAAGATGGGCTGATAGTTCCTGGTACATATCAACCTATGCCAACGCACCGTATTTTGACAACAAAAGGATTATTTATGCTGAATGGTCCGTTTCAAGAAAAATTACTTGAAAGGTTAAGTAGAATTTGTCGATAAATTAATATTTGCATTTTTGAAATACGAGTAAATTCAATAAAAAAAAAAAAAAAAAGGTATATTAATTAATTGAATTTCATAGAATGCATACTAATTAATAATCGGCATCAAATACTGTACCTACTAGAGGGATGTCCAACATTTTATTATTCGTGTGACATTATGTCGCAGTTCTGTTATTTGATCATCTTCACAACATTAATTAAGTCAGACCTCACCACCCACGTGGGAGTACAAGAGACAGTATTTGTACACGGTCTTTTTTATTCCTGTGTTCTAAAGATCTTGTCACAATCAATAGAAACTAGCTTCAATAATTTCATACAAATGATGGTAAACAAACAAAAAAAAACATGTGCGTACACTATTCAGATACATAGTCATCTACTTTCCTGAAATTACTTGTCAATGAAATTTTTTTGTACCACGTCAATTACAATCGACCCATTACGTATTTTCACGAGAAAGGAGGCTCAAAAAGTGGGGTTAGATCCAGCAGGGATAAAGTTGTCTCAAACGTTGGGAAATTATAATTGTCGTGTAACTTTTACGCATCTTTGCCGGTTATTGTCCATTGTCCTCAACAATCCAATGGCTGGCAGATCAGAATAAGTCAAAATTGTGTCAATGATACCGATACGATAACCGTGATGCTATAAAAAAACGGTAGTCGGTCAATTGCCCCATGCAGGGTAGCATGATGAACTGTTGATCATTTGTCTTATTTTCTGAATATTACGTATCTGGTATCGGTATATATCGATATATATAGCTGAATATATATAGCTGAATATAGATAGAATTATAAGTATTATTGTCACAATTCAAGGGACAAAGAGAGATCCCTAGTTTTGCAATTAATATAAATTCTAAATAATTCGCGCAAAATTTTAATTAAATGTTACATAATATATTGCATAATTTATTAAAGCGTTCTAAAGTTTCCGCAGTTTATTAATCATATAATAAATATATAATTAATATATAATTAATATATAATAATGTAGGTAGTAATTAATGATTTTAAATAACAGATAAACTAGGATTATCAGGTGGACCGACCGTCAGGTAATCGAGATTAAATGATGTTGGGTCGTGTCATGCGCTTGTACAGATAAATGCTCGCAAAAGTACTGTAGTTACACGGGTCGGAAGGTCTCGGATAAATTTGGAAATTGTTTTTCGATGAATGCATCTGCATCACATTACATTAACACGCTTCATTAAGCCCACTATCATATCAAAAAATAGAAAAATAAACCCACGCCTTTTGACATTCGGTTATTCCTATCAACAGACCTGATATAAACTTTTTTTGACCCACTTCTCTCCAGACTCTCACCTCAAGTTTTTTTTTCTATCGACGTGCGAGCTTTCTTCAAAATCCTTTTATAAATAATATCATTCATTTACAAATTAATTAATTACCTTGAATATTCAAGCAAGCTCCGAACTTATTCTTTGTGTAAGTTATTTGCCATCACCTAATTCTTTGTCCCGGCTCATGTCTTCTTCGCATATATTACCCTTTTTTTTGTGTTGAAAAAAAGAAAAATCAAAAAAACCTATATATTTTAGAAAAAAAACAAAATGGTTCAACAACAAAGTCAATCCAATAGCAGCGACCTTTACAGTCATAATAACCATACGTCTACGATAAAAGACTTGCAAGCGGATAGGACTTCGGGATTTTCACATAACAATTCATATAAACAAAGAAACGGGTCGATAAATACGAATAACGGCATACATGTTCCAAATATGCAGCAATACCGTCTCCGTTTTATGAGCACTAGTCAGTCGCGAGAGCAGGACTCTTACACCATTGCGGACAATTCGGACAATGTTTCTCAAACTAATGAGGAGGGTCATCAACACAAGTCTGCCATGGCAAGTGAATTCAACTCCAAGACGTCGACGACACAACAAATAAATCATGAAGTTCAATATCACAACCAGAATAAAATTCCTAAAACACTTCCTCTTCGTATTGAACGTAGTCTTACTGAAGCAATAAATTCGCTGTATGAGGTATGTATGGTATTTAAAAATAATAATTATAATATTGGTTCTTAAAAATAATTTTTTTAAATCATATTTTAGGACTTACTTCCTTCAGAGGAAAGTCATGAACGAAGAAAGCGATTTGTCGATAAAATAGAAAGAATATTAAACGAAGAGTGGCCTGATCACGAAATAAAAGTTAATTTGTTCGGGTAAATTATAAACTTAAATTTTTTTACTAATCTTTAAAGTTATTTAATTTAATCATTTGATTTTTTTAATTAATCAATTAATTTAAAAAAATTAAATTTCAATCTTTTTGTCTAGATCATCTATGAACTTGCTTGGGACATCAACATCAGATGTAGATATATGCGTTACAACTCCATGGAATGGATTAAAAAACATAACTATTTTAGCTAAAGGGATGAAAAAACGTATGTAAAATTAATAAATGGATTTTAATTACTTTCATAATATGTCATGAAAGTGTTAATTAATCTTTATTCATTAATAATAGATGGAATGCAAGGAATTTACTGTGTTCCAAAAGCTAAAGTGCCTATTGTCAGACTTTGGGATCCTACTTTGTACGTAATTATGCGGGTCTAATGTTAATAATATTGTAAACTAAATCGTATTTATTTTAAATGTTTAAAAAAAACAGAAATTTGGCATGTGATATCAATGTCAACAACACCTTGGCCTTATATAACACGCGACTAATAAGGACTTATGTAAGCATTGATTCAAGGGTTCGTCCGCTAGCAATGACAATAAAACATTGGGCACGACAACGAGTTTTAAATGATGCTGGTATGCTTACGATTGATGAAATATTTGGAAATATTATTTATGTTATTAGTCAATTCATTACTGTTACTGTAATATTTCAATTTTATGAGGTGTAAATCGAATCATTCCTAATTGTAAGCTCACAATATTAATATATTAGCCAAAGGTGGTACTCTGTCTACATATACTTGGACGTGCATGATTTTGAATTTCCTACAAATGCGTGATCCACCAATATTACCAGTACTTCACCGAATCCCCCACGATCCTAATATAATCAATGGTGTTGATGTGTCATTTTTCGAAGACATCGATAAGCTAGAAGGATTTGGTAGTAAGAATCATGAATCGGTTGGTGGTCTATTATTTGCGTTTTTCAGATGGTAAGTTTATATCCTTTAATTCACCATATAAGCGCGAATAACGCGCAGGGTTGTAATTTCGAATTTTGGCCTACATTAAGTTTAATTGCTTAATTCGGGCCATTATTTAAAATAACGCCCAGGGGCGTTATTTCGTGCTCATACGAGTATATGATATTCTTTCAATTTCAACTAAATATAAATTTTCATTATTTACATTGATTAGTTTTGCTTATGAATTTGATTACGATCATAACGTAATATCTCTTCGGGAAGGTAGGTACCTTACTAAAGAAGAAAAAGGATGGGGCGACACCGGTAAAGGCTGGAGACTTTTGTGCGTAGAAGAACCTTTCAATACATCAAGGAATCTTGGTAACAGTGCTGATGATGTTAGTGTTATTGGACTAAGAAATGAATTCCGCAGAGCAGCCAGAATTCTATATGAAAAAGAAGGCAAGGAGAGTCTGCGGCATTGTTGTCAGCAATATATATTCCCAACACATTACAATTACAATAACAATAGGGCTGTTGGATCAGCATATCATTACAACAAACAAAATGGGAAAAAGTCTGCACATTATAGACATTATCAAAATAATGGCCGTGTTAATAATGGTTACCACAAACAACGAGATGGTGGAATAGTAAATGATAACAATGGTAATTTTAGAGAAAAGGAAGAGCCAGATAAGAATGATGATAATAGTTCCTATACTTCATCACATCAGAGAATTGAACAGAGATCAATCAGCCCCAAACATTATTCGAATTCAAGGAATAGCAATGTGTTCGTACCTATTCCTAGCTATGATAATTATAATCAAAATTTTGCCACTGATTCAAAGCAAGATTCTGCGTCAGAATTTAATAGGGAGCGTCCAAATTATACATCTGAATCGTTTCAGGCATCAAATTATTCAGAGAATAGAAGACAGTCTTCAGAATTGAGTGAGCCATATATCAATACGCAAAAGACTAACGATGAATCAAATAAGATGTTGACTTACCCATCAGTCCAAAAGTCTACAGTTCCATTAAATCAGAAGCTTATCTGTACATCGAGTCAAAAGCATATTGGTCAACCTAATCAGAAATATTTTAGCATGCAAAATAAACCTACAGTCGGAGCAAATAGGGTTTCTGATCATGAATCTGAAAAAAAGTTTACAAATTTTTCAGATTCCAAACCCGTTAGAGAGATGAAGTCAAATTTTAATCATTTGTCTAACATAAATTCAGTTCATGATTCCGATCAACCATCCAGCCCAAAACTCGGTTATCAAACGACTCAAGCCTCGAATATCAGATCAGGTCAAACATATAACAAATCTGCAAATTTGCACCCAAAGTCCTCTTGCCATTCATCAAGGCCTAATGAAGAGGCTAATTATAAATCTTATGCATATGGTGGGTGTGGTGAGAACAGTACGCTCATTAAGACGTTTCCAAATTTAACAACACCCAAAATTAATGGAAGTCATGGTCAGCTAACAATGACTCAAACGTTTGATAAAAAAACGTCATATCCAGTTACGGCCGCTTTTATTCCTCAGAATCACATGCCAATTTACTCGTCACAACATATTCAGAGTCATAACTCGCAACCATACGAAAGTTCTACCACGTTTCAAAGACGCTTGTCGCATCAATCATCATCCGACGGTTCGAATAGCCTTACTAGTGGTAATAGCAGTAACACTAGCTATAGTAATAACAGCTGTCAACAAAATGTCAGTTCGAACAAACCTAGAGACAATTATTATTCAAACAACCATCAGAATAATAATTCTAACTTCAGCAAAAAGAAGCGACAGCATAATAATTATGGTAACTTCGATAATAGCAATGGACAACACTATCAAGGCCGTAACGAGTCAAATTCTGTTATTACATCTATGAATTCTGTTAGAAGTAATAACAATTTGACAATGTCCAGTCAATCTGCCCCCAGCATACATAATGAAAATGTGATATCAAATTATTCAACATCGCAAAAATTGAATCAACATCATACAATGTCAAAAGGGTCCAATGGTAACATGAATTATAATACCAATGGTTTTAAAGCCTGTAATGGAGTTAACAACAACAACAATAACAGCAATAGTTCGAATTATATTTCTGTTGCGCCCCGTAATAATGTCATAAAGGCGATGAATGGCGGTCACACAAATAACAATAATTATAGCAATAATAATAATAATAGTAATAATTATTATTTAAAGGAGAATAACGGAGGTAATCAGAATGGTTACTTTAATGGCTCGAAGGAATCTAGCAACGAAAATTTCTCTAACGGACAAAAGACGAACAACAACTATCAATATTCAAATTTTTTTAAGACTTCAAATAATGGACATTCGAATAATAATAATTATTCCAACGGAACGAAGTCAACAAATAGCTATCAGAACAATCATTATGCTAATGGTTCAAGGACAGTGAGTAATGGTAACCATATTGAAGGGAATTACACGCATGCATCGAAAGTTCCAAATGGTGGTTATTCGAACAATGATAATTGCTCTATTAGACCAGTTTCCGTTAATGGTCCTCACTTTAGAAACAATTGCCATAGTAATTACTCTGATGTTCTAAAGACGTCAAATAACGGTGCCAACAGTAATTACGCTAACGTTGTAAAAACCATGAACGATAGAAATCAGAACTCCGTTAAATATAACAATAATAGTTACACCAATGGTGGATCTCAGCCTGTAAGCTATGATAACGCCATGCGCAACATGAATGGTACTAGTCATTATGCCAGGGATTCTAATAATTCTAATGCGCATAAAGCCTTTGATGGAAATAATTTTAATGCGTCAAAGACCGTTAATAGTTCTTCCAATATGCCAAGGACCACGAATATTAATAATAACAATTCCAATAATCAACGGAACAATTTCAATCATCGTAAGAATCAGAATCGTAATGGTAGAAATAAAAAAAACAATAGCCCTCAGAAAACGGATAAAAAAGATGATAATGCGATTCAGCAACATCAAGTTCCATGTTCTATGACAATATCACAACAACAGCAGGAGACTGGATCAAAACAAAAAAATAGTCCTGCACGTTTAAAAGGTGGTAAAAATGGTTCCCGAAAATCGAATGGCAATTACCATAACAACAATAAACCGAATTATGTAAACGGCGATAACTTTGTCGTTAACACTAATCGGTAAAATATATATATTTCGAAAAAAAAGGGGTATTTCATTGTCATGAATTCGGAGTTCTTGTATCTTCAATTCAAGAGATTGAAATGAGAGATGAAAAGTATTTTATATAGACTTTATTCAGAGAAAAGAAATCCGAGTGTAATTTTTCTAGATATAGTGATTTCTTTTTCTCTGAATAGTTGTAATTTTCTTTATTATACAATCACACAATAACATACATTCTCTCTTCCGGTTGGGTTTATATTATGCCAAGGCGTTTTAAATGTAAAGTGTTATTTTTACACAATCAAAAAGCTTTTCTAACGAAAAGTATATAAATCTTAATTTTGTAATATTTTTTTTTTCATTTTTTTTTTTCTAAAAAAAAAAAAAAAAAAAAAATTTATTTATTTTTTTGATTCATTAGAAGTTGATATTATATTGTATTCTTCCCCTGTTTCTGTATAGTCTTCTAAGTCATTAGTATTTTGGGAAGATTTTTGGTTTGTTGCTCGGTATAATATCTTGATGATATTTTTAATGTTGTATTTATTTTATTTTATTTTATTTTTTTTTTCTATATACACACTTTCGACATAGATTTATATAAATTTGTTAAAATCATTATATAATAATTTGTATATATTCTATCAATATAAATTTATTATACTTTTAGTGTTCATTTATTGAACACAAAAAAAAAAAAAATGTATTAAATGTGTACAGTACAAATAATGATATATAATTGACATTTCATTTTTTTGCTTATATGAACCCAATAAATTGGATGTCTCGATCATGTGAAAAGCCAATTCACTATCGCTATTAATCAGTTATCGTTATTACGTACTATTAAGCTCTGTTACACGGTATCTTTTAAGAACTTTCATATGATTGGACATTATTACGTATAAAATAAGGTTTCTTAGTTTTTATTTTCATATGACAATATATATATATTATATATATTTATATATATATAGTTTAAATAGGTCTTCAACATTTCTTGAGCTAAAAATATCGCGCGAAACTCTAAATATACACTGAAATGAGACATTAGTAGCTCACCCACAAAAAATTTTCCGGCCATGTGACTTTTTTATGGCACTAGCCAATTATATTTCGAGAT